AAATCCATTTTTTGTTTTTTTTCCCCTAGATGTACACACATATATATATATATATATATATTTTTTTTTTTTTTTTTTTTTTTTTTAGTCTAGACAAGCTTGTCTTGTCTAGACTAAATTGTCACAGATTGTCACAGCAGTAACAATAAACAACAAAACAATCAGGCAGTTCTTTTTTTTTTCAAATAGTAATTGCCTCAGCCTTCAGTACCTGGGTCTGGCCCACTGCTGCAGATTCACAGATGAAGGATTTCTAACCCTGGTCACTGAGGAAGGCGGTCGAAATCTCATGCACCTCGACTTAACCGCATGCGTTCAGGTCAGCCGTTTTGCTTCTTTTGGTTCCTAATCAATACAGTCGAAGTCTCCTGACGACCGGAGCAACAGTTTACTCCTCGACTCAGTTTCCAACTAATGCATCCTCTCTTCCGTTTGCACGTGTCTGATCTTGTTTCTCCCTCTGCACTGGGGAGCATTGGAGCGAATGGGGGAAGGTCTGTGAATGTAAAAAACATCTGAGTGGAGGGGTTGGGTTTACACACCCACCCTCTCCGCATGTGTACACACCATGTAACATTTGCACTCTTTGCTCTGGGGACGAGCGTTAGCTGGGATCCAGCTGTATGGTTTCCATGATGAGATCATAAGAATGCAGAGAATGACTAAAAAAAAAAAGCAGAGAAGTGGATGAAAACGCAGAGCCCCACTTTGCCCCCTCTCTCTTTACAGATGACACCAAAAGGGTTCGAATACATTTCTGCAGGATGCCCGTCTCTCAAAGAGGTTGTGATGAACGACATGCCAAGTCTGTCAGACACCTGTCTTTTGGTAAGACTTTATTTCTGCAACATTTCAGAAGTCACACAAAGTAAACTGGATGTTACTGAGATCATAAACCAGCCTTTGTGGCTATCTCTGGCGTATTATGTGACATGCTGTTACGACTGGCTCAAGGTCATAACAAAAACGGGAGACCATGCAGTGGTTAAGGTTCAAAGAAAGGAACATTTATTAACAAAAACAACAATGTACTGTGGATGTCAGTATCAGTGGTGTAATGCAAATGCTTGGATGTGTTGTATGAGTGCATATGGAAGTGGTGAAGTGCAAAAACAAAGACAAACTCAAATGTGCATAAGGAGGGGAGCTGAGGCCGACATCAGAGCAGCACAAGGGTCAAGAAGCAGAGTGGACGCCAAAGGCGACCCAGAAGGTGGAGACAGCCAGGTTAAAATACTCTGCGCTCCCAATCAACCTGATCAGCAGCACCTGTAAAGGGGAGGAGCACAAAGACTGACAACAAGACACCTGCAGCCCAGCCTACAAGGCCCAGGGCCGTAACACCCCCACCCTTAAGAAAAGGGCCCCAAAGGGGAACCTTTACAAACTCAAAAACAAATATGAATTTAAAAATGTTTGGGCTGGTAGTACATTACCATGTTTTGTGTTCAGGATGACTGCCGTCACATCATTAGCCTTCAGATCCCACAGCCATAAGTTGCTGTGCCCATCATGTCTGGTCACTGGTCAGGAAGACTGGCAAAGATTGGTACAGAAGCTAACACAGGACATGTTCTTACTGCTTCAACACGTTTAACGTACCTTACGAGGGGAGAACCCACTTACGAACACAGACCTGACACACAAGTGACCTACCACAGGTTCACAGCCAAATCAAAATGGATTCACCCAGTTACCACTCGCAAAAGCAATAACCAGCAATCCAACCAGATCTGAACTGTCACCCAACACAAAAGGTCACAGCAACAAGTGGTCCACTACCACAAAATGTTGCTCCACAACTCGGGTAACCAAGCAAGTGACCAACACCATATGGAGAGCGACACCCACACCACGATCACCCTTAGCATGGTCCAGCACCATACTCAAAGTTACTGCTGTCTCACAGCCAGCAACACCAAAAGGGCATCAACCAAAAGTGAGCCGACATCTCCACAACACCTAAAGGTCACTTCACTGCTTTCCAATTTTTCCTCAGGGTTCTCATCACCACATATGACCCACAAAACATGGAGAGCCACACCCACAACAACCCCTGCATGGTCTCCCATTTTGTTATGACCTTGAGCCAGTCATAACAATAAACAACGACAACATCAAACCAACACTGAAGCAGCACAGTTCCTTAGAAAGTATTCATACCCCCGCATATTTAACTTGGGTATTTTGTTGCAGACCAAAAACACAGTGGAGCTTTACAGTGAAGAAGAAGCTAGCAAGTTCAAGCTAAGTCAGAATAGATGTAGATGTTTGTGAACAACCTTCATCAAGTCTTCCCATAGATTCACAATCTGGACTTTGACTAGACTATTGTATCAGACAACTGTACAGCTACTGCTGCATTTTTCAATGTCTTGAACTGGTGGAAAGCAAAACTGAAAATGAGGAATAGAGCTCCCACAGCTTGATGCAGCCACTGCCATGTTTCACTATGGATATGTTGTTGTTTTTTAGGGTCATGTGCATTGCTAGTTATACTCTTTGCATGTAGCACAGAGGGTCGAGTGTTGGTGTCATCTGGTCACAGTGTTTCATGTTCGTTTGGTCTCTTCACGGCTTGTGGCAAAATGCAAAAAATACTTATGGCTTTTTTTCCCCCAACAATGGATTTTTTCTCTCCAAATTCGTATCATGCACAGCTAATAGTTGTACTGTCCACCTGAGCAGCGACTCTGTGCAGCTCCTCCAGAGTTACTAAGGGCCTCTTTGTTCCTTCTCAAATTCATGCTCCTCCTTTGTGGGCTGTCAGATGTAGTGGAACGAATGTTTTGGTTGCTTTGAAGTTGTAATATTCTATTGTCAGATCGATTAAAAACTCATCTGTTCAAAGATGTTTATTAAGGATTTAAACTTCTCCACTTTATCCCAGACCTGACTGCTGTGTGTCCTGGTCTTCATGACGATGTTTGCTCACAGTTGTTCTCTAGAGAACCTTTGAGGCGTTCACAGAACATCTACATTTATACTGAAACTATTCACAAATTGGATTTAATTTCAGACTATTAAAGGTAATTGGGGTATGAATACAAATTAATGCTGAACTTTTCTTTTAACTGTGTTTCATTTTCTTCCACTTCACTTGTTGGTTTTTCTTATAAAATCTAAAAGATTGATTCTGTAATGCGACTTTATAAGTCAGAGGGTATGAATATTTTTGCAAGGTGTTTTATTTATTGATTTATTTTTTCTACCAGGGCCTACTTGCCAGATGTTGCAGTCTGTCCTCCATCTCTCTGCTGGGCTGTCCTCTCCTGTCCGACATCGCCCTCAAAATAATCGCAAAAGTATCCGATCTGAAGAGTTTCGGTATAGAGGGTGAGACCATTTTGCATCCCGCTGATGTTTTTTTCTCTCTTAGCCATGTGTGGATGTTAAACACTGGTGCAGGAACCTGTTCGTGTGTGCTTTAGGCAACAACCAAGTAACTGAGGTGAGCTGGGAGGCCCTGTGTGGCTTATCCACTGCTCTCAGCAAGCTCCACGTGGTAGACTGTCCTGGAATGACCGATGAAGGCATGAAATATGTGTCCTCCCTCAGACACTTGAATTATCTGGATATTTCACTCTGCAGCAGGTGGGTGGAGGTTGTGTTGGCTTCATTTGCTGAATCGACAGTATTACATCGCAGCGTTTTCCATCGTGTCTTTCAGGGTGAGTGATGTTGGCATCAAATACTTGACTGAAGGTTCCTCAGCAAATAAACTGCAACATCTTAGCATCAGTCAGTGCGGCCTCATTACCGAGTTCTCCATCAAGAGGATTACACGAAGGTATTTAGCAGGATTTAACTACAGAGCTCATCCTATCCTCATAGTTAAACTACATTTTCCCTATATTTGCCTTCATGACCTGCACGAAAAAAAAAGTTAAATGTTGCATTTTTGTGTTTGGGGAACAACTTATTAGGTTGCAGAAACTGTTCCACCTTAATTTGAGTTACTGTGAGAAGGTAACGGACCAGGCTTTGGATTACCTGAACGGCAGCTCCATCCAGTCTCTGGACCTGACTGGCTGCAACATCCGTGATCAGGTACTGAACCACGCTGCATGTTCTCCGTCTTGATGACTGTAACGGTGTTCTCCATTTCAGGGACTGGGTTCACTTAAGAAGATACGGCTAAAGAAGATTATAGTTGCCAAGTGTGTATTCGTCACCGATATGGGCATAGAGGTACACATCTTTCAGGCCTCAGGTTTATTTCCTTCAGGATTTTTGTTTTGTAGAATCATCTCTCCCTTTCTATTAGAAGCAGATGTGAGAAAGGAAAGATATCAGTACGGTCTTATACCCCTTGTTATGCCTTCTTATTCTCCTTCCGGGCAGAAGCTGTGCGACAACATGAGAGATCTGGAGCACATTGACATTTCCCAATGTCCAGCTCTGACTGATGCAGCAATCGGTGCCATTTCACTTTACTGCAGGAGTCTCCTCAGACTGAAGATGGCAGCATGTCCACAGGTTCAGTTTGCATCTGCATATAGAGTAAAGTGTTTGTATTTTTCTCCTAACAGAAATTCTTCAGTTTTTGCTTCTTTTTTAAGTTTTTCAAATAAAAAAAAATGGTTTGATATTAAATGAAGAAAACCTGAGCAAATACGAAAAAGCTGCAGTCAGACGCTATTCAACCCAGCGTCACCCTGTGTGGAAAAAAGTCATTTCTCTGTAAGTCAACTCGTGGCGTCCCAATACTGATACTGGTATTGGTATCTGGCTGGATACCAGCATCAAGTACTGGGACTCATACCTGTAAAAACAAGCCGATACTCCAAAACGATATCACTTTTCTGAAGTTAGATGGCGGGAGAGTGGCCAAAATGTCGAGTTTGGAGTTATTTCAAGGAAAACACAGAGGATAGTAAACAAGCAGATTGAACCTTTGTGCTTAGCCAAGCTGTCAAAACGAGAAAACGCGTCTGAACAAGTAATTTGATCAACTATTTACAGATGGAACAATCCGTGTGTCATGCTCTATTTATGATTTGTTGAAACAGTCAAAGGGATTGCAGACTTAAAAAGAAAAAGGGCCACTCTGTTCTAAATAAATGTATTGTGTGACGTTTAAGTACCAACTTGTTATCGGTACTCGGCATCGGCAAGTACCTGAACTGAAGTGGACTTACTCAGTCTGGAAAAATCTGGTATCGGGACTCTCCTAAAATCAGCCATCTGGCTCTTGGTGTCAACAGCCGTCAAGCATTTCTTATGTTAGTGAGTCTTTTGCATCTCTGTGGAGGAACTTTGGAGGATTCTTCTAAACCAGCCAAACTGGAGTCTTTAAGGCCATGAATAACTAAGATCTTGCTACTGCTTCCCATTTAAATCCAAACTTTGACTAGGCTGCCCCACAACCTTGTTTTATGTTTCAGATGTTTAAAAGTGGACTTGCTGATGTGCTTTGACATTATTCTTCAGGATTTCCTGGTTCCATCAATATTATCCAGATTTTGAAGCAGCACAGCAGTTCCACACAATCCCACAATGTTTGTGTTTTTTTTTCTGATATGTGATGTTAGTTTTTAACCCAGATTTAAATGGATGTACAGCTCTTCTTACCAATCCACACAACATTTTTAACAAATTTTTCACGTAGTCAGGTTGACTTCATATGTGAAAAATACATTTTGTATTTATTCAGATTTTCTTTGCTAATGCTAAAGTTTGATCTGCAACGTGTGAGGAGACACTTCTTCTCAACACTCGGATGCACACAGAGTATTAAATATGATCGTTCTTTCGCCGCTACAGTTCCTCATTCTGTTTGTGTTCAGATGACGGATATGGCGATCGTGTATCTGACCACTGGCTGTCAGTACCTGCTAGAACTCGACATGAGCGACTGCAGACTCCTCACCGATCGCTCTCTTAAAAACCTAAGAAAGATTTCTCCTCCACTTAATACCATCAGAATAAACAACTGCACAGGCATCTCATGGTACATTAAAAGTCAAAAAGTCTCGACATTTACACTCTTTGCAAGAGCTTATCTAGCAAATGTCCTTTTTTTCTTTTTAAAGGGAGGCTGCCGTAAAACTGCAAAAACGCGTCTCGCACTGGGAGTACAGCAGCGACAGACCTTCCACCTGGTTTGATTGTAATGCACACAAGTTTGCAATGGCCCCGAAGGATAACGATGCATGGATGAGAGAGAGGGACTTGTGTGCATGAGCAGCAATTCCGTCCGGAAAGATCAAAATTCTGTTTGGAAACAGAACAACCTGAAGGAATGATTACCTTTAAGCAGAGGTCGCAAGATTTGGTTCTCAAAGTCCGGTGTCCTGTGACTTTTAGGTGCATACTTCATGCAACCTACCTGAACGGTTGAACTGCCTCCTCAGCTGGCAACTGGAAGCTACAGAGTCCTGCTAAACGACTCAATTATTTCATCCAGGTGGGATGAAGCAGAGGCGCACCTAAAAGCTGCAGACCAACATCAGGGACAGAAATTTGAGGCCCCCTGTTTCTGGTCACTCCAACCATCAATTTAGGAGCTTTTCTAAATGTCTTTAAATATTTAAGTGTTTTTATTTTCACTAATATTTTTAAACCAGGTTATGATTGACCTGCCTTTGTCATGGTAATATTGCAGGTCTAAACCCTTTCAGTCTATTTTTGGAGATATATATATATATATTTTTTTTTTTTACTGAATTGTTATTTTGTGCCCTTTCACAGAAGAAATGTTTAACAACTTCTAAAGAGCATAAACTGTTAATGAGACAAATAAAGTTTAACATTTAACAAAAAGTGTTAATTTACTTATATAAAGTAAAAAACTGTGCAGCAACAATGACATGTGCTCCACGCCTTGTTCTTTACTCAAACATGCCTGTTACATTGATTTTAAAGGGATTTTTTAAAGCTACCAGTAATTGTTTCATTGAGTGATTAAAGAACCTATTTTATTAAAATACCTTTTTAATCATGTAAAATGCTAAATACACACAGTCACAATACAATGATTGTGTGATCCGACATGAAGAGCATTCAATTCAAAAGACACTTTAAATTAAAAGGTGTATTTCTTAAGTATTTACAGCACATTGACAGAGGTGAAGACAGAGGTGAATGACATTCAGCTGTTGCCGTTGTATTAATATCCGATCTTGACGTTTACGCCCCTGAGAACATCACGATGCGTCCCGTCACTTAGCTCCTGAGCTTCAGGGACTCGAGCCAGCTTTGTGTCCTCAGCTGGACAGATCCTCTGTCCGCCCGAGCTTTGACCCACTGGTCAACAGGAGGCTCTCCACTCATACAGCCTGAGACAAACGCACTAATGTCATGTTTCATTTACTGGTTGGAGGTTTTCATGTCACTATCGGATGAAGAAACAACGACTGGAGCTCACCAGTCAGTGTGGTCCGGCCGTCTGCGGTGCGTCTTTGTTCGTCGTGCAGAAGAACCTCTGGGCTGACGTTCACCGCCACGCCGCAGAGGTTTACACCAGCTCTAAGCGAAGACGGGACGCGCACACTCACCGCTCCTACATGACGCAAAGATTAAAACAAAACCAGGAGTACAGGGACAAACTGGGCTCTGTCCTCGGCGTACTTACCGTCCCTAGTGTTGAGGTCAGCGGTACCACCGTCTCCCACGTAGACATCAATGCTTCCGCTGACAGACGAAACCTTCAGGAAACTATTTGAACCATCTGCAGGAACAAAGCAAGCCTCAGACTCCGTTAAGAGACCGTGCATGGGGTCAGTGTGCAGCCAGCCCGCCTGCCTGCTTACCAACAACTGTGTCCCCAGACTCGTTCTCCACTGTGGTGTTACCTATAATGAATTACAAAAAAGAAATTGGGATTAGATAGCCTCATCACTACCTTCACTACACTGAATAGAAAATAAATATCTGAGTTCTTCAAACACAAACACATCATAACATTACACAACTGAAATTCACACTCAGGAATACAATGAAATTCTTACCCAATCAATTTTATTTATTAAATATTTCACAGGGTTGTTGGTGATCAACGCTGTCACATTTTACAGCCATCTTGACTTTATAGCCATCTTAAAGCGAAATAGTTGAAAGGTTTGTGGTAAATTGGGACCACATTGTGCTTAAATCAACTGCGCCTGGATCTGAGCCCGAGATTCCTTATGGCTCAGCTTTACCAAGAGATTTAACCTAAAGCAGCTGTGGACGAGAATGTACTAGAAACTCCTAAAGGCAACAGTTGTTTTTGTGACGAAGACGTTTCTTCGAGCATTATTTTAACCCTTAAGATCAATAAGTCTGGTGAAGGTTGTCATAGATCAGCGTTTCTCAGGTCCGGTCCGGAAGGAGCCCTGCCTTGCATGTTTTAGGCGTTTCCCTCCTGCCACACACCTGATTTGAATAAGTGGTGGATTAACAGGACTTTGCAGGACTTTGTGGCATGCAGAGGTCAGGCAGTCATTTGAATCAGGTGTTGTGGAAGAGGAAATATGCGGTGCAGTGGCCGCTGAGGACTGGAGTAGAGAAACTCTGGCCTAGATCAACATCTGTGCGGTCAAATCTGGCATCTTTGGTTTACAGCAGTGTTTCTCAACACTGGTCCTCACCGCCCCCCTGTCCTGCATGTTTTAGGTATTTCCCTTCTGTCACACACCTGAATTGTATCTCTGGGTGATTAACAGGCTTCTGCAGTACTTGATGGTCATGCAATCATTTGAATCAGCTGTTCTGGAATAGAGGCACATCTAAAACATGAGGACCAGGGTTGAGAAACACTGGTTTACAGGTTTTCAACGTTTGTGTGATTTAAGTTAGTGAAGTCTCACTGTTTTAAATAATGTAGAATATATTTATATTAACAGATTTTGGGCAGATTATTTGGATAATGCTTATAAGATTAACAAAATAAGGAAAACAAATTACCAGATTTGGGTAGTAACTA